ATGTGTGTCTTAGATTTCCAAGGGAATTGGGAGACCTATTTGACATTGGCCGAGTTTGTGTATAACAACAGTTACCATCCAAGCATCGAAATGGCTCTTTATGAAGCTTTGTATGGTAGGAAATGCCAATCTCCAATTTGCTGGGCCGAAGTAGGTGACAGGCCGTTGTTGGGACCGGAACTTGTGCAAGAAATGACTGGAAATGTTAAGCTGATTCAGCAGAGACTGAAAACCACACAGAGCCGACAAAAGAGTTATGCTGATGTCCAAAGAAGAGATAGGAAATACGAAGTTCGGGACCATGTGTTTATCAAAGTGACTCCAATGAAAGGGCAAACTCGGTTTGGTGTCAAGGGTAAATTGGCGCCAAGATATGTTGGACCATATGAAGTTCTGGAGAAAATCAACCTAGTAACGTATCGGGTGGCCTAACCACCGGTTATGGAGCATATGCATAATGTCTTTCATGTCTCTATGCTTTGGAATTATCTGAGGGATCCATTACATATGATTGAGCCAACTCATGTACTCTTAAAGGATGATTATACTTACGAGGAAAGGCCTATTCAAATTATGAACCGCAGGATCAAAAGACTAAGAAACAAAGAAATTCTGTTAGTGAAGGTGGATTGGTAGAATCATGGAGGAAACAGAAGAAGACATGATGAAAAAATATCCGGATTTGTTTCCATTGGACCCAATGTTCTTCTAAGATGAAGGTAATTCGAGTTTGGAGGACCAAACTCTTTTAAGGAGGGAAGACTGTAACAACCGCGATCCCTGTATAACGTTAATCCATACTTAATTATGCCTAATAGTAATTAAGGAGGGATTCTGAATTAATTTGCACGTATGCTTTGCATTATTGTGTTTATATCTGTTTGCTGTAGAAAGATCTGTTCATGTTTTGGTTTCAGTTTGTGAATGGAAGGACTTATCGGCATCTGAATCAGAAATTGGCGTAGTTATGTGTTAATTGAAATTTTTAGAATTTTATGGTAGGCTTAATTAAAATTCGTTTCGGAATGATTAAATAGGATTGATTTAACTCCACTTAAGTGCCTATGACTTGAACTAATAAAAATACCATTTCTTTTGGACCCCACTCATCCCTCCCATCCATTTTTGAATGCTTGTTGAGCCATTCTAGAGAAAAACGTGAGAGAGAGTAGAAACATAGAAAGAGAGAGAATTCAAGCTTGAAAAGGAGATTGTAGAGCATTAAAAGGCATTCAGAAGAATTGGCTTGGAAACTCAAGGAATTGACTCTTTAAAATCCAATTGAGGTAAGAATTTAACCCATAAACTATGTATATGAGTCATCAAGAGCATGAATTCAAGAAGATCTTGTGAATAAGTCTAAGATTTGAGCTAGAAAGGATTGAATTTAAGTCAAACCATGCATGCATGCATAATACATTCATTTTGAGCTAATTTTCAACAAATACTCACATGTACGAGCCTAGACTTGCATAATTTGAGTATTCAACATGATTTTGTACTTTACATCTCATTTCCTCTTGGTTTTAAAAGTATACACTCAAGACATTGCATGAATGTATTTGACATAAAGTTTTGATTTGGATTTTAAAGAATTGGCAAGCTTTGGGGCCTTGATTTCTTAAATTGACCCCTTAAACATGTTGTATTATGAGTCCCTACGTGTTTTCTCAAGTTTTGGCCCAGAAAAATTGAGTTTGATGCATTGAGTTCGAGTTTAGAACTTGGAAACCAAATCTGGAAATTCCAGATTTTGGATGCACACTCGAGCGTAGAAGTTCACACTTGAACGGGCACTCTGAATGCGTGCACTTTCGCTTGAGCGTCATGATGCTCACTTGAGCATGAAATGCATATATCCAGAAGTTCATGTGTTTTGCAGTCCGCTCGAGCGGGGAAATTCGTGCTCGAGCGAAGGTCTAAGTCTCACGCTCGAGCAGAGTTCGAGCGTCTGTTGCGCGTGAGATTCATGCATCCAGTACTTTTGTCAAGTTTTGCAGTCCGCTCGAGCAGGGGAAAGCCACGCTCGAGCGAACCTTCACTTTCTGCATGTCCGCTCGAGCGGGGAAATACACGCTCGAGCGTGGACCTTATTTTCAACAAATCTGAGAAATATTTTCAAGTGCATTTTTGCATCCTCTTTCCATCCTAGGCATTCCTAGGCCATGTTTAAGACTCTATGATAGGGACAAAGACTAAAGGCACGCCAAGAATAAATAAAGCAAGTTATGTATAATTTGATAGTACGTTACAAGTGTGTGTTTGTATGTATGTTTGTGTAGGTCGCGTGCCTCGGATCACTTGATTAATCTGCTCTATTTATCTGCACCCGAAGGCAACTGTGAGTAACAACTCTGTAAAGTTATGTTTAACTTTAAGCATTTTCTGACTGATATGATACGATCCGTTTTTTGAAATGCTATTTTATGAATTATGAATGAATGTCCAATTTTTTGAAATGTATTTGTGGCATCCTTAGTTCACGTGGCCCTTGCCCAGGGGTAACAATACCACGGCCAATCTGCACGTGGCCCTCGCCCAGGGGTAACAATATTGTGGCTTATATTCACGTGGCCCATGCCCGGGGGTAACAATATCGAGCCCTATATTCACGTGGCCCTCGCCTGGGGGTAACAATACCATGGCTACTTGCGCACAAGATATGGACCTTTATGGTTATTGGTACCAACTATGCATGTGGGTCTCTGGACCAAGTTGATATGATAGCTAATGGGTGTACCACGTATGATCTTACGAAAAATCTAAATATGAACATGAGTGTGTATCTGAATCTATTTCTGATTTGAAGTCTGAATATATTTCTGATATAAATTCTGAATCCTAACTTGTGCTGGATATCATTCATTAAAACCCTTTACCTAGTTATTATTCATTGCGCTTTAGCTCACTGTATTATTTATATGTATGTAGGTGAGCAAGCGCATAACCAGGCCTGAGATATCGCCTGGCGAGTTTTGGTGTCAGCCAGCCATCATGCCTCTCGTTGAGGTTCCCTTTTGAGATCTACTCGAGTTTGTAGTCGTTGGGACTTTTGTATTTCTGAAATGTTTTTGTCTAGCCAGAACACATAGGAATCTTGTATATGTGGTTTGGATGATGTAAGGCTACTGTATTTAATGTCTTATATGTATGTATGCAAACATGTATATGAAAGTTTCAAATATTCTGTTCCATATATGTCTGCACGACTCTATGGACTATGTAACTTTGTATATTTGCTTCCGCAGCCCCTGTTATACATATTATTCCGTTCAGAGGCCTTCGGTAATCCAAGGATTACTGGCTGGTTACGATGCTAAACCCTTAGGGGCGGGTTTGGGTCGTGACAACTCATCTCTCTTCTTCTGCAAAATCACCATACTCTTCTTTAACTCCTCGTAATCAATCTATCTCAAAATCGGAACATAATCGCACAAATTTGACGGCGAACTCACAAGAAACTTCTCCATCAATCCTTCAACAAATCGCTTTCCCAACAAAAAGATATAAATTAATATAAAATAAAAAAATAAAAAAAGAAGACAATTGCAATAAGTAGGCCAATTAACAGATTAGATTCAATCTGAATCCGTTAACAAATGCCCAATCTCATAATATTATAAAATCTAGGGTTAATTATACAAATAGTTCATGTACTTTACACAATGTGTCAATTTGATCCCTATAGTTTCAATTTGCTTGATTTTGCCCCTTAATTTAACAGATTGTGTCATTTTAGTTCAATAAATAACGGTTGTTAAATTAATTTAACGGAAGATCAAATAATCTGTCAATTTGGTTCCTGTAGTTTTAATTTTCTCGATTTCGACAGAGACTAAATTGACACATTGTGAAAAATATAGGGACCAAATGAACGCATTATTTGACTTTCCGTTAACTTAACTTAACAACCGTTATTTATTGGACTAAAATGACACAATTTGTTAAATTAAGGGGCAAAATCAAACAAATTAAAACTATAGGGACTAAATTGACACATCGTGTAAAAGACATGATCTATTTACATAATTTTCCCTAAAATCTATGATTTATCTAATTTGTAATAATATGATTTAATCTGATTTACATACTTTAACTTTTACTTTTGTGTGTATGTATATATATATATATACACACGGGGGATTGAGAGCTTCTATATTCCATGATTGTAATGGAGGTTCTCTGCGTGAACTTTGTTTGAAAAGTAAGTTTGATTTTTTCATTTTTTTTTTTACTATTTTAATTAAGGGCTAGAAACCACTTTTGGATTAGATTTTTTTAATTTTTTAAACTTTTGTGATAGAAAAAATAAAATGATTATGATTTAAATATGACATTTTGTCTTATTAATTTTTTTTTTTTTGTCTATTTTGTCTTTTTATGACTATTTTAACTAAAAAAGCCTTCCAACCCAACATGCCAAATGAGAGGGTTATAATATCTATGGGTTGTGATATTAATATTTTAAATTTAAAAAGAATCATTACAAACCCTTAATTAATGTAATGAAGATCTTCCATTATAACTTTAGAATGGAAAGGATCATAATTCATGCCAGGCAACAATATCCACACACACCAACAAAAAAAAAATTTATATTAACTTGGTTTAAAGTTCTTGCACTTTAATTTTTATCTTTTAATCTCTCATAAAATAAAATAAGTCTAAAATTTTAAGTATGATGTGTGGCTGTCATTATCTATTATACTTATTTCGTGGGATAAATTTCAAAAATTTTGAAATATTATTTATAACATTACAATAAAATACAATACGATAATCACATAATGATATATATATATCAAATCCAATAATCCTATAGTAAAATCACATCCAAATTCAATTGGATCATATTTTCGAATTGAATAATTGGATAAACTTGATTAAGATGATTTCTTATTCAATCTGTCAGATCAAATGGGATTCGAATTATGGAAAATTTGATCCGTTGACTAGCCTAATCATAACTAGCTAAAAATAAAGATCCATTAGCACACACTTCAATTTTGAAATTGAGAGAGGAGTTCAAGTGCATTTTTTCTTGGAATGCACACAACCTCTAAAGCTTCAGCCTTGAGCGGAGGTTTTGAATCTATGATCAAGCTCTTTTTTTCTCGAACCTGCTCCAATTCAAAACATTGAATAAGTAAGCCCAAAGCCAAGGAAATTGCCCGCACACCCATGTTGGCACCTGGACAAGCCCTCCTCCCTATTCCAAATGGAACAAATTTGAATCCTTCTCTTCCCCCTTCAAACCTCTCCGGCTTGAACTTGTCAGGCTCTTCCCAAACCTTAGGATCCCTATGCAAGCCCAAAGCATTCACCAACAGAGTCGTACCGCGAGGTACTTCAAATCCCCCAACAATGCAATCTTCAGATGAATAATGTGGCAATAGAAGCGGCACAGGAGAAGATAGCCTTAGGGTTTCATTGATGACACATTGGAGAAAGGGAAGCTTGGAAAGATTCGAGTCATCTAGCAAACACCTATGTCCAACTTGGTTGTCAATCTCTGTTCTGGCCTTCTGGAACGTCGACGGATGATTTAAAAGAAACGACACTGCTTATTCCATCGTGACTATAGATGTTCCTGTTCCTCCCAAAAACATCACCTAAACACATGTTAAACATGTCTTAACAACATTAAAAATTAAGAAGTCATTCAACTTAAGCCTCTCCCAACCTCATTACCTGAATTAAAAAGAAAACATATATAATTATGTGATGTAATAGCCATTTTGTCAAGCCCCATGAAAATGATGGATATGTATTATTAACAGTTTAGTCAATAGAATAGACTCATTCAATTAGCACAACTTAGAATTTTCATACCTTGTAAATAAACTCACAAAAATAATGTGAAGATAAGAATACGAACATAATTTGTAAATAAAAAAACTTCCTCATACCTATTTTTTCTCTTAAAAGTAAAAATGTTATTATTTAGTGGTTATATGGTGGTGATGATGGCGGCCGCAGCGGTATTAGTAATATTATAGTACCAAAAAAACATTTATTTCGAAAAATCATAAATTGATAAAGATCGATCCTAATAGAGAGCATACATCAATCATTATTGTATTGAAGATGCATACATTGATGATAAATAATGAAGTAAAACAAGTAGGAAAAGGAAAATCATATAACACTTACCAGTATTAAACTCTTGATGAGATCGTCCATATAAAAATTAGGTTCCGATTCTTGGAGGCATAACAGAGTTCTGATCAACGTTTTCTTATCGCCTCCCTCATTGGCTTCTTTCGCCGAACCTGATCAATCAAACCCTGCAAAAACTCATCTCTCTTCTTCTGCAAAATCACCATACTCTTCTTCACCCTTCCGTAATCAATCCATCTCAAAATCGGAACATAATCGCACAAATTCGACGGCGAACTCCTAAGAAACTTCTCCTTCAATCCTTCAACAAATCGCTTCCCCAATTCCGTCCCTGCATCCTCATCCCTCACGCATCGATCACTAGCAACGAGCCTTGTCGTCATATTGAATGTCAATAGAGTGAACCAGTACTCCAAATCCACCTCTCGATTCCCAATCTTCATCAAGTGAGAGAGAATGTTACGAATTTCTTGTTCGTGGACGATCAAGGACTTCTGAAGGCTTTTGGAAGAGAAGAGTTCAACGACGGCGAGGCGGCGGAGGCTCCGCCACAGGTCGCCGTACGGAGCCCACACGACGGCAGTGTAATTGTAGGTTAAGTAATCGTCGGCGATCGATCACGGGTGGTTCGCGAATACGACGTCGTTCTTGGTAAAGCATTCTTCGACGGCGGAGGGAGAGGAGACGACGAGGGTAGGCCGAGAGCCGAATTGGAGAAACAAAATAGGACCGTGTTTGGATGATAAGTGATTTAATGCTTCCTGGGGTGAGTTTTTGATGAGGTGGAGGTGGCCGATTATGGGGAGAGCGAAGGGGCTTGGTGGTAATTTGGAATTGCGACGGAAGAAGTGTTTGAATATGACGAGTGAGAAGAGTAGCAGAGCCAAGTAATAGGGTAAGTTTTCCATGACAAAGGGAAGCAAGTTTAGTGTAGAATTTGGAAAGTTTGGTTGTGATCCAGGAATTAATTTGAATGTGAAGTTTGAAACACAATGATGCGTTTTAAGGCAAATTACATATACCTTCCCAAGATTTAGTTAAATTACAAATATTCTTGAGATTTCGGAAATTATATATACCCCCCGAGGTTTATATTTTCATAACAAATTGTCCCCTGAGGTTTATATTTTCATAACAATTTGTCCCCTAATTTGTTATGCAAATAGTACATTCAGAGGGGTATCTGTAATTTTTCAAACCTCAAGAAATATCTGTAATTTTGCTAAATCTGGAAGGGTATATATAATTTGCCCTAAGTTTTATAGTGATATACTTGTGACAGACATTCTTGGCCTCAAATGGCTTGTCTTGACTTGGATTTTGTCTACCTCTAGTTTTAGGGCATTCCGCTTAACTCTATCTATACTATACATTAAGTAAAATGAAATTTTTAACTCCCAAAATTTGTGAGAGTTTTAATATCTCAATTTGAATTTTTTAAATTTTTTATTAAAAAAAAAAAAACTCAGCATTTATTGATTTGGGCAAAATCTCTTGATCAACATTTATTAACTTTTTTCAATTTATATGTTTTTCCACATGTATGCATTTATTGATACAATCTCCTGATCAGTATTTAAAATCAACTTATACAAGTAATTATAGATACAATCTGTGTATAGTTACTGCAGTACCTTTTTCAACATCTCCTATATACTATGGTTAGTGATAAGGTTGTTAAATTATTTTTATAAAAATCTTAAAAAACATAATTTATATATTAAAAAAAATCTAAAACAAATATAAATATTTATAATTATCTCGTGCATAGCACGGGTGATAGACTAGTCTCAAATTATACAAAAATTATGATTTTAAGAAGTGGGTTATAAAGTTAATTTTTTAATTTTTTTTTAAAATATCTAAAAATTAGAGGAGTAATGTGATTTTAAAAAATTAAAATATTAATAAGTTGACTTCTAATCTCGTTATCAAAAGAGACCTTAAAACTATGGGAAAACGTACTGTCAGCACTATTTTCAAACATAATATTGCATGTGATTTAAATGTCATTTTTCATTAAAAAGAATGTTGTAATTTGATTTAAAGGGGGTGTTTGGTGGGATTTTTTTGAGTTAGTTTATGATTTTTGACTTTTAAAAAGTTATTTTAAACTGTTTGGTTAAATTTATTTCAAACAACTTCTGATTTCAACAACTTATTTTAAGTAAAAAAAGCTGATTTTGAGAAGCTGCTCACCACTTGCTTCTGATTATCAGCTTCTGTTGTGGACATATTAATTCACAGTTATACTCTTAGATTTTTTTATTTTTTATTTTTTTAAAAATAGAAAAAGACTCAAATGGACTATAAAATATTATTATTATTTTTTATGAAAAATGTAGACAAATAGTGAATAATAAAAAATAAAAATTAATTGAAAAAGCTACTTCGCAGCTTATTTAACAAACACTACTCAGTAACTTAAATTTATAATCCAACAGCTATACCAAACAGATTAACAGCTTCTGATTAAAGTCATAATCTATAATCTGTTAAGTTATAATCTATAATCTGTTTTAACAGTTACACCAAACAGCACCAAAATATAAAAATTAATCATCATAATGAAAAATTAAAAAGGTAAAATAAAATTTTGATAAAAATATAGAATGACTAATCCTCATAAAATCTACTTGTAAAACTATATGGTACTTCTGCTGTGGACATATTAATTCACAGTTATACTCTTAGATTTTTTTATTTTTTATTTTTTTAAAAATAGAAAAAGACCCAAATGGACTATAAAATATTATTATTATTTTTTATGAAAAATGTAGACAAATAGTGAATAATAAAAAATAAAAATTAATTGAAAAAGCTACTTCACAGCTTATTTAACAAACACTACTCAGTAACTTAAATCTATAATCTAACAGCTATACCAAACAGATTAACAGTTTCTGATTAAAGTCATAATCTATAATCTGTTAAGTTATAATCTATAATCTGTTTTAACAGCTACACCAAACAGCACCAAAATATAAAAATTAATCATCATAACGAAAAATTTAAAAGGTAAAATAAAATTTTGATAAAAATATAGAATGACTAATCCACATAAAAATCTACTTGTAAAACTATATGGTACTATATGCACCTTATAATTAAAGAAAAAAATAATATAATTTCATATTTTTTGAGTCATAATTAAATTAAATAAAAAAAAATCATAGTCAAACAATACATGAGACATAACAAAAAATCTCATGAATTATAATTAAAGAAAATAATTGATCATAACTATAGAATAAAGTGCATATGGTAGGGCGTATATATTGTAGAATTTACCCGTATAATATATATGACAAAAAGTACACTTATTTAGGTCATCCCAAACAACCCCTTACACACGCTCTCTTTATGTCAGGTCATGAGGTCAAGATTGAGCCGAATAGATTTTAAGTTTCCGTTTGGCAATTTATTTTTTTAATTATTTTTTTAGTTTTTAGAATGTTTTAGCTTGGGATAAATTTGTTTAGTTTTTTTGTTTGTTTTTTATTTTTGTAAAAAAAAAAATGAAATAATTATTATTTAAATGTAACATTTTATTTTATTGATTTATTTAACATATTTTATCTTTTATGTTTTTTTAACCAAAAAAATCAATGTCAAACAAAGCCTAACTTCATCAACATACATTGTAAAAGCTACATCAAATGTTTATATAATAAAAAATATTGTATATTTTATTACACTTTTTTTTATACAAAATGTACAATTTTTTTTTTTTAATTTCTTTATATACTCTAAGGACACATTAAAAAAATAAAAAATTAAAAAAATAAATATAAGAATAAATATAAAAATAAACCCCACACACAGACAATTTTACATGCAAAAAATTTTAAGGATAAATTACATTAACATCCCTTGAAGTTTCTATTTAATACAGATTCCTCCTTCACAATTGAAAATTATATTTACCCCTATCATATTAAAATAATATATTTAGCCCTTTGTCTTTATACATATAAAATAATAAAATAATACAGATATTTTGTTCATGTTATTTTAAGAAAAATAACAATCATCTTCTTTAATTTAACTCTTACAAAAAAAATTGACTTTTTTTTTTATTAAATTTTTTTTAATGTTTTATGTGATTTTTTTTTATTTTTCCAAATACACTTAATCTAGATATACTTAAGAAATATAATATTTTGTGATTTTTTTTTTTTTAAATTCACCAAATATTAAAAGATACAAAAAATCAATATATTGTCTTATTTTGTTGTTTTCAATGGTTTTTTTTAAAAAAAATTGTACTAATCTTATACTTTTTAAATATATCTAAATTAAATTGATCTAATCTAGATATAATGGTAAAAATAAAAAAAAATATATTATATTATATATAAAAATTTATACAAAAAAATACCATAAAAATATTGTGATAGTGATATTGTTGTAAATATAAATCATGTTTATAAGTTTTTGTTTTAAAGTAAAAGGTCACCATTAAGTTATATCATTATGTTTGAAAATTATATACAAAATTTATATTTGTATATCATCACTCAATAACAATATATTTAGGTAGAATTTAATAATGAAAAATTATAGAATACAGCCATAATGATAGGAAGAATAAATAATAAGAAAAATGATAAGATGGTTATTTACAAAATTTTAAGACGTAGCATTAGCAATTCAGCCATCGTTTGGGAAGATGGATTGGAGTGGATTGGGACTGAAATAGTTATAAAAAGGCAAAATAAATTTTTTAAACAAAATTTACTTTTTTTAAAAAAAAAATCAATGACTTAGAATCATTTTATATATGAATCTCATATTTTATCAATTTAATTTTCATCACACAAACATATTTGAAGTAAATTCTAAGTTCATAAGAATAAATTTCTAACTTTTTCAAGGAAAGAGACAGTGAACCTTGCTCCTACTAATTCTTAACAAGCTTGAGTACTCACAAACTCAGCTCAACTCATTTATAGTTCTATGAACTGGGCTACCGAGCTAGTTGGGCTCAGCCAGCCCATCTCATCATAAAACAAGCCGAAAGGGCTAAGTCATGCTACAAATTCTGCAACTCTAGGCAGCTTGCAAGATATGGGGGTTAAGTCCTATGGTGTGCATTTATGTTTGAAAATTATATACAAAATTTATATTTGTATATCATCACTCAATAACAATATATTTAGGTAGAATTTAATGATGAAAAATTATAGAATACAGCCATAATGATAGGAAGAATAAATAATAAGAAAAATGATAAGATGGTTATTTACAAAATTTTAAGACATAGCATTAGCAATTCAGCCATCGTTTGGGAAGATGGATTGGAGTGGATTGGGACTGAAATAGTTATAAAAAGACAAAATAAATTTTTTAAACAAAATTTACTTTTTTAAAAAAAAAAATCAATGACTTATAATCATTTTATATATGAGATAACAAACATATTTGAAGTAAATTCTAAGTTCATAAGAATAAATTTCTAACTTTTTCAAGGAAAGAGACAGTGAACCTTGCTCCTACTAATTCTTAACAAGCTTGAGTACTCACAAACTCAGCTCAACTCGTTTATAGTTCTCTGAACTGGGCTACCGAGCTAGTTGGGCTCAGCCAGCCCATCTCATCGTAAAACAAGCCGAAAGGGCTAAGTCATGCTTCAAATTCTGCAACTCTAGGCAGCTTGCAAGATATGGGGGTAAGTCCTATGCCGTGCATCCTTTTAGGGTTACATACATATGTACTTTATTATAATTTCACGTAAATTTATGATAAAATTTCGTAATAGTAATTGTAAAATATAAAATCAAGCCACAAATTAGTATAACAAAAAATATCATAATTAAACCATAAATTGTTATAACATCAATCATAAAAATTTAAATATTATGTTACATTAATTTATAAAGAAATTATACATTTTTTAATAAAATTATGTCAATTTATAATATAGTCCACACTATAAGTTTTTCCAAAGATAGGAACTTGTATATACTAGGGGTGAGCAGCGGATATACCGATCCGTCAAAATCGACCGAACCGAACCGATCCGCCGTATTTTGGACGGATGCGTGATGACGAGCGGACGGTTGCAAATTGATTTTCTCCAATCCGCCAATTTGGCGGACGGATGGCGGATTTGAGATTCCTTTGGCCGCAACCGAACCGCCAAACCGCGAGCATCTCTAATAATTTATAAGATTTTATGTTTTCAATTTGTTTAAATATTTTGTTTGTGTTTTCAATTAAAAAAGAGTTTCAATATTCTGTTGAAATTTTTTTTTCAACTTGAATATATTTTTTGAATTGAAAAAAATAAACGTATTATTTATCTATATTTTTTGGTTTTTAAATTTAATTCTAAAAATAATAAATAGAAAATATGATATATGCTGGTTGATTTTTGTTTTCAAAAACATATATAAATGTAACAATACAGAGACATACAATCTCTACTACTGCCCTGTTTATGGTTTTAGTGGTTTGAATTGCTATTATATTTTAAGAACCACAAATTGTAATACTTTATGTGGATGAATTATGTTGTGATTGTAATATGTGAATGAGTCATGCAGTGATTGTGATATTCTAAAGTTTCAAACTTTCTTTTTTTGGATGAGACATACAGTGATTGTAATAGTTTTTTAAATCATTAACTGTAATACTTTCATTTTTTTTTATTTTTTGAGGAAGTGCACAAGTTGAATTATATTGAAAATTTATAAAATCTTAAACTGCCAAACCGATTCCCATCCATCCGCCAAATCACTAATTTGTTCAATCCACATCTGCCGGATTGGCAGACGGATGCAGATTGATTTTCTCTAATCCGCCAATCTGACGGACGGATGGTGGATTGAAGGTTCCATAGCTGCAACCGACCCGCGCCGACCCCTAATATACACTAAGCAATTCAGATAAAAAAGAGCCTCTGGAGCACAAAATTACAATACATAAAGATCTATTTTGATTTCCAAAACTTTTAAGGATTGATGACCCCGATGATAAGATAGTGATGATTGAAAAAATGTAGACGAGAGTATTTAAGTTGAATCTGGGTTGGAATTGGTAGGCTCTCCCCTATCTAAAATTCTTCCAACCCTTCCCATTCAATGTACTCAATAGACAAAACCAAAATTGCTGCCTCTTTCTTTTTATAAGTTGTCAGTCCTTATCTCATCACATTTTGGAGGTGTTTGGGAAGAAATTTTTTTAAGTTGGTTTTTTTTTTTTTTTAAATAACACTGAAAAATAAAATAGACTAAAATTATTAATAAGATAAAATGTCATATCAAATTTATAACTATTTCATTTTTTCTTTCACAAACGTCACATTCAATTACAAAAAAATTTAACTTTCTTTCCAAACACAAAAATTTTAGCCTCTTAAAAATATCAAAAGCTAAAATAATCTACTAAAATAGTATTTTCACAAACACTCACTTTATATTACAACTCAAGATAGGATAATTGTTCTGTACAATCCTTATTAGTTGCTTCCAAAACCACTAGCACATACATGAAAACAGAGAACCGTAAAGGGGGAAGGGACATTTGAACAGTAGACACTACTCAAAGCTGAGAAAGGAGACTTATCATGGAAGGCCGAGGTCTGTACATAGCCTCTAAGGGCTTGGCCTTAGGCAAAGTTGGCCCAGATCCTTTGCTCAAGTCGCTCTTTCCCACTCAAAGCACTGAATCAATGTACCCAACGCTAACCCAATTACCCTTATTGCCAAGGCAGCCCCAGGACATGCTCTTCTCCCCACTCCAAATGGGATAAACTTGAAACCTTCGCGTCCCCCTTCAACCCCTTCAAACCTCTCTGGCTTGAACCGGGTAGGCTCATCCCACGAATTGGGATCCCTGTGAATGGCCCAAGCGTTCACCAACAGCGTTGTTCCTCGTGGAATGTTGAATCCGTCTACAACACAATCTTCTGATGAAAAATGGGGTAGAAGAAGAGGTGCAACTGGGAATAGCCTGAGTGTCTCGTTGATGATGCAATGGAGATAACGTAGTTTAGAGAGATCAGAGTCCTCTAGAAGTTGCCCTGTTCCGACATGGTTGTCTATCTCAGTTCTCGCCTTTTGCAATGCCTCTGGATGATTCAAGAGAAGTGACACTGCCCATTCCATGGTAAGCCAGGATGTGTGTGTTCCTGCTGTGAACATTAACTGTGTACAAAAATTGAATTAGAAGATCCTCTGTTAGCAACAAAATCACTTCATTTATAATTCTTATAATTTATTAACAAATGAACAGGCCTCCTAGTGAAGGCTTGACTATAGTAACTAATCATGTATGCCTAGTAGCTTATACTTGGCATCCACTATCACCCAACACTAAAAATGCACTCCATATACTTCAGTGTTTGAAGTGTCTGTTAAAAAAATACAAAACATCTCATAACTAGGGGTGGGCAACGGTTTATCCGAACCGCTCAAACCGCCCAATCCACCCAACCCGCATATAAATGGACGGTTTCGCAAACATAATGCGGGCAGATGCGGTTTGAAATATGACAAATTTGCGGGTTGCGGGCGGGTCGCGGTTTAAACCCGCAATCCGCAAAAACCGCCCGCACTTTAATTATTATTATTATTATTATTTTTTATATACCAACTTTGTAACTTTTACAGGAGCACCATTATATACTCTATGACACTAGGATCCTTATTTTTAAGTATTTCTCAACTTTCTTAATGCCGTAGAATTATCAAGTCCTAAACTTGGTTTCTTATATGATTTTCATTGGTGATTCATCCACTTTTTCCTAATAAAATTTTCCTTCTAATGGTCGATAGAAATTATAGTTTGATTATTGATTACTGAACTGACAATTCTTATTGAGTACAGCCTTTAATGCATTGATATACATTTTTTTCATGGCAAAAATGCTAGTGTAGGGTCTCTTTGTTTTGAGTACTTTCATTTAATGCATTGATATTCAATTTTTATTTGTAAACTCATCAAAAAATTGTTATCACAAATATATAAAATGAATCTGATGACTAAATTCGCTGGGAAAAAAAAACTCGAAAATTAATTTTTAAAGAAAAAAGTGTAAACCGCAAACCGCCCGCAACCGCCCGCATATTTGTAAACCCTATCCGCATAAACCGCAAACCGCACTGCGGGCAGTTGCGGATTGACTTTTTCCCAAACCGCATAGATGCGGGCGGGTCAAAACCGAACCGCAAACCGCACAAAACCGATCCACGAACACCCCTACTCATAGCAGACTTTAATGTCAGATTTTGGCTGAAATGTTTGGTGATACATGTATATATACTGACCAAAACACCAGGACTTCAACACAAAAGCAATATATATAACATGGAATTGAAAATTTTGAACTTACCACTACGATGCCTTTGATGATGTCATCCGTGTAGTATTCAGGCTCTATTTCTTGTAGAGACAACAAAGCTTCAATTATGGTCTTTCTCTGTTTCGTCGAAGAATTATTAATCTTGTTTTGTCGCACCTCATCAATCAGATCCTGAAAAAACCAATCTCTCTTCCTCTGCAAATTCACCAGTCTTTTCTCATATCCATTGAACCCGACCCACCTCAATATGGGTATGTAATCACAAATATCCAATATCGAATTCGGACCAAACACACCGTCCGCCGCCGGCGACCACCTTTTTCCGGCAACCATCCTCATCGGCACATTCATAACCAACTCATAGAACACAGATTTCAGATTCACCTTCTGGGTTTCCCCACCTGAGGCTCGAAACATCTTTCCGACGATAAACCGAATTTCCTCGATTCGGACGGCGGAGGAGTGGTGGAGGCTGGCGGAGGAGAAGATCTGGATGGTGGTGACGCGGCGGAGGTTGCGCCAGAGATCGCCGTAGGGGTTGAATCCCATGGTGGTGCCGTTGTAGCCGAGGTGCTTGCTTGCGAGGGACTTGGGTCGGTTGGCGAATGCGATGTCGTTGTGGTGGGTGAAGAATTGTTCGGCGGTGGAGGGAGATGAAACCACGACGGTGGGGCAGCAGCCGAAGCGGAGGGACAGGAGGGGACCGTGGCGATCGGAGAGGGTTTTCAGAGAGAGATGAAGTGGGGTTTTAAGTAGGTGGAGGTGGCCGATGATAGGGAGAGAGAGTGGAGTAGGTGGGAGGTTGGATTTTTGTGGAGAGAGGAGTTTGAGGATGAAGAAGATGGAGAAAATGAGAGTCAGTGTGCACCAGACTACCTCCATGACAGAGAGAGAAGAGAGAGATGATACTGTTTGAATTTAGATCAATTCATTAATATCCAAATATAAACTTGTTTGAAAAATGTTAGAGATGAAGACATTTATCAAAAATTTTACCTCATATTTGCATGTGACCTTTAATTAAAAAAAAATTTAACTCAATAGTTTTACTAAATTTGTTTAATGAAATCTAATCATATAAAATTCATTCTTCAATTAAAACTTATCTTGATTCTTGCTAAAAACAAAAGTGTTACTGTCAAAAAAATAAATAAATAAAAAAAAACAAACTTTGGCATGTCTCTAGTCAACAAAGTAGATCGGTCGACTAGACAGTATTGTTAGACGTGTCGGATTCATTACGAGCTTTGTTTTGATAATTTGAATCGTTTAATGTGCAAAAATTATTAATTATTTTATCTCTGTAAAAAATCACGTTGATCGAATATCGATAACTACTTAAGCTCTATTTGGGAAGATAGATTTGGGAATTTTTTTGACTATTTTAACTACAAAAGACAAAATATGCTATTTTAGTCACAAAAAATAAAACATCACATTCAACCCATAATCATTACACTATTCTTTCATAAAAAAAAGTCAAAAAAGTCAAAAAAGTCAAAAAGCTTTTCCCAAACCAAGCTTTTTAGCTCAGGCTAAAAAAGTTAAAAAGTCAATCCACTTCCCAAACGTTATCTTAATTGTTTAAATTTTTATCAACAATTTATTTTAAAAATTATATTTACCGTTGACATAAATTTAATCCGATTAAGTAGCTTTTGATATCAAATCAACAAGAGTTTTTATAAAGATAAAGTACTCGACAAATTCTACACATTAAAAACAGTTCGGATTATCGAAACAAAACCCGTAGTGGGCTCCCACGAGTCTAACAACACATTCCAATCCAATCCAATTTCGAACTCAAGACAAGCCAAACCCAAAAAAATAAATAGTAAGAGAAATTATTCAAAATTCAAATTGTCTTAATCAAATTTAATTTGGTTGTGGCTCCCAATATATTTTAATTTAGGGATTAGTTTCTCCTCAGTTCGCATCAAGCAGATTGAATTACATTTCGATAATTTAAATTATTCATTTTTTAAATCATAACGTGTAAATTATTCATTAAAAAAATCACGTCAATTTGCTAACCATAGTTACGTTAGGTTATTACATTTGTTTTGTAACGCCCTCAAAATAAACCCATTATATATATATCATTGACATGCATTATTTAATGAAAACATTTTATTAAATTGTTCATCAGAGTATTACTAAATAAAAGCATCACATGTAACATCGAATAAAATGCCCTACAGGCTTACATCTTTCCAAGCCAACACTTGGATACAAAAATATGAGTTCTAACTCAATACAAGAAAAGCCCTAAGCTTGAATGTTTACATGTATTAATAAATAAAGACAATTAACTAAAGATAGTCTTCTTCAAAATCCAGAAGCCAAACCCTCCCAAGCTAAGTCCTTGGAGGTAGCTTATCACCTGAACCTGAAAATGATATTCCCATAAAGGGTGAGCCACAGCCCAGTAGAAATATACTAAACCACATATAAGCAATGAATAAAGCAATAGCATTCAACAGATGGTTAACCAAGATAATCAATTACTTTATTTTACAGTCTCATGACACTATTGTCTAAGACACGTTTTACTTTCCAACTTTATCAACATGGCTCAGAACCTGGCCAAACTTACAACAGTGAATCACATATATCATATTCACATCCTTCCAATATCAACAAACAAATGAGACTCAAGCTCAAATAAATCAAAACACTTCATACTTCCAGATCGATACACATTTTAGTGCTGTATCAACAAAAACACTTCTATATAAATAAGCACACACAAAAGTGATGCTAATGGAGTCCATCCCCTATCTCCTCCCAAACAAAAATGCATATACAATGTATTAAACACTCGTCATATACAACACACAATCAATACATGTATTTTCTGTATTAATTCAACAGTCTAAATCAATGACTTAACCAATGTGATTAGTTTCAGTTATTCCTAATCCACATGCAATGTCTACAACAATCACGACTATCCTCCACCGAAAGCCCAAAAATAGTTATTTCCAAACTGAAAATAACTATGTCAACAATTCAATAAACAAATGATTCAAATTATCCAACTACGCCATTTAAACAATGAGTTCCCCAATTCCATGAATTTAACCAAATTCCCCAATCCCTTAAATTAATTATACAAATTAATTAATTAAAACAACTAGGGTTTTTCCCAAAATTATCAAAGTAACCCCAATTTATCAAAATACCAAAACTTAGAACAAAACCTATAAAATGGAGTAGAACCGCTTGAAGTATTTGTTGGCTCGAAGCAAGGAACGATCCTTTGGCTCGAGCTCTGTTTCTCTGTGTCTGGCGTCGCTAAGCAGTCGCAATACTAGCGCGGTATACGCTGAAGTCTGATAAAAATGGCCTTGGGGCTCGGCTCTGAGCGAGCCAATAACTGCTGTCCAGTAATAACCATGAGTCTATATTCTCATCTCGCTCTTATTAACCCAAGTAAATCAAGCCCCAAGGTTTTTTGGCCGACTTCATTAGCTTAT